CTTTGACTAGTCTGACTGGCCCTTTGACTTGACTGGCCGTTTCAAAACTTTCAGTCAGTGCAGTAAGTAAAGTTCGGGTAATCGTATTTTATTAAATCATGTACATTTAAAATGACACCTTAAATAGCAATAACGTATAGCAATTTTTCCTTTATATAAATGATTAATGCCACATATTTGTGGAATGAATTACGTGGAAATACTCATTATTCCACAACAGCATAAATTTCGAGTGACAACTCAATAAAATAGCAATTTTAAAATTGCAACGGGGAAATACATGCGTTACAAACCAGAGTAGATAAATAGAGTTTTTGAAACCGCATATTTGTACAACCCAAAACGGACACTTGATCCAAATTTGAAATGAAAATATCCAACCGCGTCTTATTGAATGGAAATATTACCGGATTTTCGTTTGTGCAGTGTTCAGTATTCTCCACTGGACCTTGTGCTTCTTAAATATCGAACTAGATCGCAGTAAATGAAAGTAGCCTTTAGTAAGTGTTTTTATATAAGTTTCATTGATATGCACAAATATTTGGAGTGGAGAATATTTATTTATTAGCGAATATTAAGGACACTAGAGGCGAACCCCAACTATATCGACAAAAATTATATACTTAAGAAGATTTTGTATAGCATTCACACTGCTTGTTTATTCATTTAATCAACATATAAAACGAAAATCACCAACTAAATGTTAGGTACAAGTCTTTTTTGTCTTTTTTGATGGTGTATCATATTTCCAGCTCTTGTTAATCTACAATATAATAAAAATGAGATAAATTTTAGTAGTTTATGCTGAACCCCGTCCAAGAGATTTCTGTAGACCCTGTAAACAAACGCGTCAAATAGGCAAAAATATCCTTAATATTTGTAAACAGCATATTTTTTTAGAAATATGAACTATATATAACTTTAAATACATATAAATATTCTATGTTTTATCAGTTTTGATTGTATCGAAAATATAAATTATATTCTGTATAACTAACCGCAGATGCCCAACTAGGCACACAAGTCATTCATGAAATTGCAATTGCTGTGATGCAAATTTGGGCTTTTAGACAAGGAGCAAGTTGGGAAAGGAGTTTATAGCTATAGTTGCCTAATAACCAAGCTGCGAAAAAATTTTTCCCAGGGAGTAAATGATTTGCATGTAAGATATAAAATAACTATATTAAAAATTTTATACTTACATTATAAATAGATAAATTAAAGAAATTTAACCACAGACAATCTTAGGAAATCTACAATTGATAATGTCAGCAGAAATACAGAAAACAAAAAAAAAACACTCTACTATCACACCTACTGAATATCAAAAACACCTTTTCACTCTCAAAAAGGCACACCTACAAATCGCACGTAACATCTATGTTAAAAACTCCCTTACATTAGCCTAAGCCTAATGGTTAATAGACATTTTGTTAACGTATATTAAGATTTGTATATATTCTCTTTATGGTATATCAGTAAAAATTTCTAACAATGTCCAGCACTGGCAACAATGTCTTAGCCCGTCGAATGAAGACAACACTATCTAAATATAGTTGGTAGGATTTGCCATGGCATTGTCGGCAATGAAATGTCAGACAGAATAAAATGTATTGTCCATTTTGCTTCCACTAAAGGTCTATCTGCAAGACGACCGTTACTAATGATGACGATTATCAGTTGTACCTGACATTTAATGAGTACGCCCATTTTCTGAAATCGTATATTTTCTATGTAATACTAGATCAGTGCGTTCCTTAATCATATGCAAATATTTAAGTAGGTTTAATTTTTTGTTAAATAAGCTATTGTCTGAAAACTGTGTCCATTCAATAAAATTGAAAAAATACCAAAAAAAAACAAAAAATTAGAACCACAAAAAATATAATTTCCCAAGAGTAAATATACAAAAAACCATATTTGTTGATGTTTGTTTGATCCTTCGTCAACATTAATAACCAGTGATGGTACCGTTATTTCAAGTGAATCTATTCTCTTTTTTCCAGTATTTTTTCCTGTAACTGATCGAATTTTCTTTGGAAACTATTTGGAGAGATGCCTTCCAAAAAGATACTACTGCATTATCATCGTTTCTTGCCTCACTTACAATATTTTGCACAGACCTCACACCAATTCTATGGCATTAAATACACAATGGTAAGAAATCAATCTTAAAACTTATTTCAGCAAATATTTCGTCTGTAGCATACGACAAGTTAGTTTTGTCATTTTTGACAATTTTTAACAGCTCACATTTTTGACCATTTTCTGAGTGGTAATCCGCTTACTACGCAGCCAATTGATAATTTCCGTGCATTATCCATAATAATGAATGAATGAATGGCCTTTCGAGTTTTGGCAGCAGTTTTTCCAAAACGCCATCCTGTTTTGTAGTGGAAACTACTGAAATTATCCGTTAATTCTCTGTCGAGTGTACAAGACCGGGGTGTAATAGACAAAGGTAGAACACTGGCATGTAAATGGGTGGGTTTTCCCATTCTTGGTATACGATTGGAAGCAGGTAGAAGACTGAGGCACTTTAGTTTTAGGACCGACTATATATCCTATCCTTAATCCTTATCCTTCAAGAAAGCGCTGCCCCAATCGTGCAAACTGTCACCTCCCCGCGATTAAATTAAAACCAGAACACGATATTTTTCCTTTACAACCGAATAACGAAGCCAACTAAAATTTCCAACTCGCCGGAATCCTTAAGTCAATTATCATAAAATGGAGGGATTGTTTGGTCGCCACTCGATCGGTGACTAGGATGGAGTGCTATAAAATTTGGGCGTGCAATTTGTACGCACTACGAATAAGGGTGTTTGTGGACGGTGACGTGTTTAAGTTGTGTCCGGTTTGTTGAAGTTTGTTGTTGAACTTTGCACGCCTTATGTTATTGTTTGAAAAGCTGTGCTTGGTGTTTGTTAGGTACGTAACAAAACTTCAGGAAGTAACGTACATTTTTTTGAGCAAAACATTGATTAGAGTGACATTCGGGACACCAGTAAAATGAACACAAGCTTATTAAAACAGGCCCGCATATTTAAGCCAAAGCATCATAATTAAGATCAAATGTACAATTTTTTATACTGCTTTTAGAAAAATTAATAGGACCAAGCTAGGGGTGGATTGGAACAATTATAAATTTATTAGAAATTCTACATTAAATGAGGTTTAAGGAGTAAAGAAAATAATTTTCCAAAAACTTTCGTCAGCTTTCAGAAATCTTGAGAATTCTTCTCAAAAAAATAGTACCAATATCAATACCAAAATCTTACTGATCCTAATGTACTAATTTTTGCTATATTCGCTACATTTTTTCAAAATATTTCCTGTGTTAGTGTTTTTTAAGCAAGTTTATAAATACGATAATAGTAAATACAGTTACGGGATAAAGTTTTCAATTAGAATGGCTGAAGAGACTGAGACAAATCAAGCTTTAAGTTGCATTAAAACCCATGCAACGGAGACCAAAATTTCACCACTAATGTTAAAATATCAATAGGAAAAGAAATGGCGGAAAAAGAAATCCTACAAATCCAGATGATCTTCGTGTCATCAACGATCTTCCAGCAAAAATATTTGAGAGAGTTTTGTATACTCAGATTACTTTCACAATGATAATACCATTTCCACTGCATAGTGTGGGTCTGGAAAACATTTTGGAACTTCTGTGGCACTAACAAATTTTATCGGTGATATACGTAGAGAATGTGACTAAAATATGATCAGCATATTAGTACTGTTTGCTAATGACTTTTGACGCCATTAATTACAATTTGCTCTACTACTCGTCAGTGTCGTTTCAAAGCATATTCTATGATAATAAATATTCTGAACAAATTGCTTTACATTCTGGGGTGCTACAGGGTTCCATTTTAGTATCGCTACTCTATTAGTTTATACATTTGATATTCTGAACTCTCTTCTTTGTTGTATGATGTTGATAACTACGGGGAAGCTGAGGCTGATATAATTTGCATATTATAAATGACATTTCGAGTAGCCATAAAGTCATGTTAAAATCTACTTAATGACACAATTGTCCTGTAGTAAAGAATCTTAACATTTTTAATCAATTTAATAATATGTATATTACTAACTGAAAATGCCATATACTAACAAACATATATGAGTGCGGATTAGGTTATATATTGTGCATCTAACCAAAACTGTTTCACAAAAGTAATTGAGATAGATGATTAGTTGGTAAAAATTTCGTAAATGTACTCACATGCTGTGTTTTTTTTATGGGTTAGACGTGAAATATCTGGTTTAGCTTAAAAGCTACTATACTGGAGCTTTTAAGCTAGACTGCGCTAGAATTGTCCTGATCATTGCAATGTATTCTGTTGGTTATATTTATTTCAATTATTATTATTGTTATTAATTTTTCATATGTTTAACATCATTTACCTTAAAAACATGGAATTTTTCAAGAAGTAAATCGGTAAGGTATTCAGGTCTACAGGGTAACTAACCAGAAACGGCTAAAAAGAGACACAACGGACCTTAACAAACTTGGTCAAACCCTTCCTATCTGTGGTATGCCTAATTACTAAAAAAAAAACAAAAAATGTAAAATTCTCTAAAAGGTTAAACGCAATAATATCACTTCGTTTCATAAAAATGTAGTAAAATGATAAGTAGTAAATACAATTTAGTACTCATCAATTTAGTACTCATCAAAATTTAAAAAGACGCCTATGCGCCAGTATTTTGTTTGTTGTTCTTTGAAGATGCAATGATAAAATTTCCTAATTTTACGGCAGAGTACGAAGTAATTCCATAGGGATTCCATGCATTATGGCCTGTCCTCTTGAGGAATCACCGCGCACCTTTTTCGAGAACGCCCTGTATAAGATAAACCGCATCGAATGCTTATCAGAATCTGTTCTAATAATTTGTTTACCGGCTTTCTTATAACGTTCTTGTATTTGTATAGACAAACCGACTAAGTTACTTGATAAAAACTTGTCTTGGTGTACTTTATATAGCGAAACGCATCAATACCGCCAAGAGGAAGGTGAATGTTTAACAAGTCGGTGTTTCCGAAAGAAGCGTCAAGATGAGAATTTACCGGGAAGACGGGAGCTTCGTGGAGAACCTCGAGGACGTCGAATTCGGGTGGTTTTTAACGAACATCGCGATCGACGAAGGCATTCCTGGATCGGACCAACATAACGAGAATTTGAGGAAACGCTCGAGATTGGGTCCCCTGGAGGAAACTGTCGAGGAAGTTGGCGAAGAGGCCGTAAGTAACGTATTTCCTGAAATTACCCATTTGTTTAAATACGTCGGACTTGACTCTCGTATTACTGTCATCACATGGCGTCCGAATTAACGCGACAACTTTATATTCTCCACTAACTTGCAGATTATCCAGAGATTAGGTCCGTCCTCCGAAGCGCCCTCTATGGATATTAAAATTCAAACCGCAAGCGAGGCTATCGACTACGAAATGAATGCCGAGGGATTTATTGAATGCCACGACCCGGCTCCGGTCAACTTAAAAGTTCCCTCGAAAGAAGAACTGATGAATTTAATCAATCCGATCAATACGGAAGCGAAGGCCCTGCTCTCGGTCCTCTCATACAGCAAGTATAAAAGTTTAAACGAAAAAATCACCTCTAATGAAGTTTTTAAAACTCTGAACTTCCGCACGACAAACTCGAAGCATTTAATTAATGAAAACGGTGGCTGTATTACAAGACCGGAGTTTAGTTTTATGCTCAACGACGAGAGCGCGGACGAGGCTGAAGAAATGTACCAGGAAATTCGGAACTATCACGCGAGGAAGGAGAACAACATGCTATCGCTGATGGTCGATTTGATCGTCACCGATATGGATAGCGAAGTCGGCGAGATGACCGAATTGAACAATTCTATCAACGAAATGAATGGTCACGGGACAAACGGTGCGGAGACCAGCGATTTGGGGAACAGTATTCACAGCAGTTTGTCTTGCAAGGCCAATCGACGGGAAAAGTGCAATTACCTGGAGTTTCCCAACAGGTATGGTCTGTTCATAGATATAAGAAAGTGACCGATTGCTTTGGATGGGATTATCCAAGGGTGGTCATTAACATACAATGCAACAAGATTATTACCTAAAGTTTCGGAATTTAAATTCAGGTAAAATTGTGGTCCGTGATAGAAAATAATTTTATACCTACCTGTGTTTAATATTCTTTGGTTTGGTATACTACTTAGTTTAAGTTTATTGGTAATCATTCTTATTTCGTGTGTAATACAGCGTGTGTTGAATCGTGTGCGAATTATGCAAAATATGTGCGAGTCTAGTGTACCTCAGGAGATGCTGCCGCGCAAATGTAGAAAACACTATTCTATTGAGACTAAGGAAGTTATAAACAATCTTTATTTGACTCTCATTGAACGTGGTGCCAGCAAGCAAGCATATTTAGAAAAAACGGCCACATTGACGAAAATTCCAACATGTATGGAAAATTGTGAATAATCCCATTTCAGCGAGGAAAAAAAGAAGAGCGATGCTGACATTTTCTCGAGTGTAGATGAAAGTGATCAAGATATAATACGTAATATTTGCCAGTTATACGAGGAACAAAGCGTGCCTACATTAGATATCTTAATTAGGAGGCTTGAAAAAGATGAAACCGGTGTTATATGTGGCAGAACTGCCTTAAGGAAGTGTATTCAACACATGGGTTTTAGATTTAAAAAAATTGACAAAAGGCAAGTTTTAATGGAATCTTTTAGAATTCGGAAATGGCGACTGGAATATCTATAAAAAATTAGGATTTACAGAGAACAATAAAGGCCAATTATCTACTTGGACGAAACCTGGTTCGACACTTATGATACCCCGGAAAAGGGTTGGGTTTACTCAACTGATAAGTGTAAAACAAACAAAATAACTATTTTGCATGCTGGCTCTAAAGATGGTTGGATTCCAAATGGACTTTCTCTGCCTGCGAAAAATACTAAAGATTCTTCTCTGGATTACCATGAAGACAGCACCGCTGATTTATTTGAAAGTTGGTTTAAAAACCAACTAGTTCCAAACATTCCTCCTAATAGCGTCATTGTAATGGACAATGCAAGTTGTCACATATACATAAATGTTAAATGGCACAAATAAATAAATATTGTTTAGTATCTTTCCTAACAAAACCCCAAATAATTAAATTCTAAGCAAAGTACGGATTAATCACTTTCTGATATCTATGAACCAACCGACTTTAACTTTTGCCAAGGTACCGATAGAATAGTTTTTTTGTTTGCTTCCAATTTTTACTATTTTTTAATAACACCGGCTCTTGCTAAAAATGCATTAATTCCTTCTGATTTTAAAAGAGAAAATAAATATTTCCTTTTATTTGTTACTATTAAAATACAGGATTTTATGATCAGCATTGTGAAAGTAATAGGGATTTTTTTATGCATTTGTTTATAGATAGAAATAACGCATGCCAAATATCAAAACTCAAAACCCAATATTTAATAATAAATAATTCAAGTTGTGAAACCCGGCTATTCCTTTTAAACGACACTAAATGCGCAGGAATGGTCGTGACGTCATACCGCTGCTTTTCGATCGGTAAGGCGACATGACTCGTTTAAAGCGTGTTTGTATTTGATCTACGCCAGTTGGTATTTATGCTTAGTGTGCTTTACATGATAACAATGGAAGCAACACAAAAATAATGTTACAAATCGTGCCATCGTGTTTGAATCCAACCGTAAAACACCAGATAAACTTTTTGTTCGTGTACCAGAAAATAAAAGTCGTCCTTTTTTGTTAACATTATGTTCAGGTGTCACTTTAGCCTCAACCGTGCAAACATTTTTAACTCTTCGAACTTGCACGCGTCCTATTGCAATGGCTTCCTGATCTATATAAAATAAAGAACACTTTAAGTTATCGATGCCGATATACTTTTAAGTCAGTATTTAGGTTTCCACTAGTTAAAAAAAATATTCTTATTGTTTTTTTTTGTTAAATAATTTACATTTTATTTGATATACAATTTGAATTTTAAAAACTAGAAAATTGTAAGCTGATTACAATATTATATTGGTTAGTGGCTAAATTTTCTATGAACATACCTTTTAGCTTTAACACCGCGAACGTCAGCAAGAGAATAACTATCGGTGGTTTATATGTAAGATGTCACCATAAACATATCCTCTAAAGGTAAATTATCAGATTGACCTTTTAAAAAATCGACTTCGGTCATTTTTAAAACTTTATTTTTGATACTAAGCACAAGATGACTAAATTAAAATTAAAACCACCAAGACCAATGCGTTGTCGTTCTCTAATGACTTCTTTATGCTACCGTCCGGCTGGCGAGCGACGAGCAAATGACGCCACAATCGGCCACAGCGCGATTCAAAGAAGATTTAAATTTTACAATTTTTAATTGCTAATATTTGTTACATAGGACTACGAAATTATTTTTTTGTGAACTGTGGTTCTAATAACATTTTGTTCAAGTTCCCTATGAGTTAAAGATTTCAAAATTCTTATATCTATTTACCATCTGACTGTTCTTTGTATCTTCTTCTTTTAATGCCATCTGGTAACGGAGGTGGCAACCACTTTTGGCGGCCACGGGATGCGTGTTTGTCTCTTAAAACGTGAAACAATTCTTCTGCATGATAGTCTGTTGTAATTAGTAATTATTATATGGCCAAAATAAATTGTTTTTGTTGGTTTAATTGTTAATAGCAATCTCCTTTTTCGCCCTATTCTTCCCAAGACTTCCTAATGAGCAGTAGTTACTCCAGCCACTTATGAGGAAGCCTGTGATAAAGGCAAATTTCAAAAGGCTCTAGTTTCCTGATGGCTGATTTCTTGGAGCTAAATTCTGTTTTAAATCTTAGGAAGTATTTTTTTTTTAATGACTTTGATGTTGGTCTTAAGTTGTATGTTCCTAGATATTTATAATTTTCTACACCCTCCACGGGTTTTCCTTCTAACAACAGCTGATGTGTGTTAAAGTTTTTATAACCTACCATAAATTTAGCTTTTGCAGTATTTATTGTAAGTAATATTTTGATACTCTCGTTATCGGCGCTCTTCACCAGTAATTGCAGGTCATCCAAGTATTCCATGTGTATTATTAATTACTTAACTTAACACTTTCTTCTCTCGCCCAAAGAGGCGGTGAATATTGTCTGTGAAAATAAATTAAAGAGGGAAGGTGAGAGAACGCATCACAGCCTAACGCCTCATTGTATAGTTACTTCTTTCGTTTCTATTTCCTTTATTTTCATAGTAGCTGTTTAGTTCCAGTATATTTTTTAATGAGCCCTATCCAGTTGAATATTCTTTAAGTCATCCATTAATTTCGTATGCTGGACTCTGTCGAATGATTTTTTGTAGTTTATAACGTGACTCTTCTGGAAGATAGCAGAATAAAGTGTCTCTGGTTCCCTGAAGCGAAACTGTGAGTCATGTAATTGTTACTTTTTACAAAACTTCTGGATTCCTTCTGCGTCGGTTTTTGCTGAGTCGAAATTGCTGAGTTTTCGCCAATCATCCTGTTCGCTTCTTCAGAGCTTGACTGAAACTGGCTCGTATTTTACTCTGTACCTGCTTATATATTATTGGAGGAGAGCGGAGTTAAATGAGGGGCATAAACACCTTCTCGGATGACTGATTCCCAAATTGGTGACAGATAGAGACCTGAGTGGCGGTTAAGATTGTTAGGTTGTTTATTGATTTCTATAAACTCTCGGATTTTTCGTTGGTAGGATAACTGTTTACATGCAAGAATTTTACTTTTATCGAATAATATTTTATGTCCGGTTTCATGAGTGTGTTCGGCAACAGCTGATGAGTTTATTTGTCTTAGTCGCAAAGCTCTTTCGTATTCTTTGAGCCTATTTGATATTTTTCGTTCGGTCTCTCCAATGTATTCTTTTCCGCATATGCATAGAATGCTGTAAACTCCTGATATCTCAAATCGAATTTTGTCTTTGATGGACCGAAGATGTTGAGAGATTTTTGGACAAGTGGTGTTTATGCCCCTCATTTAGCTCCGCCCCCCTCAAACAATAAGCAGGTACAGAGTAAAATACGAGCCAGTTTCAGTCAAGCTCTGAAGAAGCCAACAGGATGATTGGCGAAACGGTAGCAATATCGACTAAGCAAAAACCGACGCAGGAGGAATCCAGAAGTTTTGTAAAAAGTATTACAGTAGCCTGTGGAAGTTTCTTTGAAACATGTAATTGTTGTTTTCATTTTCTACATGTTCCATTTTGTATTATTTTCAGTTATATTTTTATTTCACCTAAAATAAAAACAGTTGTAAATTACTAATTAAATGTCATGGGTTCCTGAAATATAAATAAAAGTCGGCAAATTACTATAATAAAAGTTTAACACTCTATTTTGAATTTAATTAGATATTGGCAACCTATTAACACGAACTTATTTGTTAATTGTTAAAGAACTATTATACTCACACAAACTAACTATAAAATGTTTACATACAAGAAAGTTTTTAATGATTTAATTGAATTTTATTTCTTCCTATTCGTTCCTCGAATAACTGGTAAAAAATGTTTCTTCTTTTGTGCATTATTTATTTCGCTTTGATGGAAGCAGAAGTTTGATATTCATTTTCGGACTAGCCCAGTTGTTCCGTTCTAAATTATTAATGATTTTCTTAAAATAGTTTTTTTCACAGCAGTCGTGTTTTAATAAACAATTATCAAATGTTTATATCAAAAAGATACTGCAACAACTCAGATATTCCTACAAAAGCATTGAATTTTTAGGTCAGATATTTTAAGCAGCATCGGATTAAGTGACGACATCGATCGGAGCCTTCAAACTTTTAGCCAAGAAAAATCGGAGATGCACCTCCAAATAGGAAGTATTAGGGAAAGTTTCGAAGTGAGTGAGCAATAATATTGAAATCGTAGTACCTCATATATATAAATAACATTTCTTAGGCCGATTTGGATATTTAATATAGAAATGTTTGCAAAATCAAAAAATAAATTTACAGGAATACGAAAAACGCGTAAACGAACTGATCCTGCAAGCCAACGCTTTTCAAAAAGATTTGAGGGAAACCGCCTACCTGGACAACCTCATAAACCTCCTCAACGGAAATCCCGAAGCGGTAAAAAACAAAAAATGGCCTTTCCAGATTTTTAGGAAATCAATCGAACCTATAGTCGACGATAACTTCATCGTGTAGGTTTTCGTTGCCCTCGGGATTAAACTGCGAATCGGCTAAGTTGAAGGACACGGGGTTAATCTGAGGTAAGTCCTTTAAACAAGCAAATCCATTTTATAGCGAATGCTACAAGTGGGTGTATCCTAATGTCGTATATAAAGTCGCTTAATATAATAATGTCGCCAATTTTCTTGGGCGCATAGTAAATTGAACAGGGTGGACCAGGATTTTGGAAAATAATCGAAACTAACCCGAACTATTACATAATTTATGAAAAAAATAAATTGCGAGGTACTTTTGTTCTAAATTCTAGTAATTCGTTTTGCATAAAATTTAAATTAATAGAAGTACTTACGGTATTGGCTTTCATTAAAAAAAATAGTCAAAATAGTTTTTTACATACTAATGGAAGAAAATGCGCATTTCCTACAAATATCAGCATGATAACGGATGGTATTCCACCAGAGTTAAACCTCTCCTTATTTTGGGAAATTGCTATAATTTTTTTATCCAAAATTAATGTAATTTTCTGTAAATATAAAATTTTCTACCAGCAATAGCGATTTTCAATGATGTTTATACCAAATTATCCCATCTTTTATAGCTTTTCATTTACGGTTAATATTTTACCAACGTTATCTTTTACATTTTTTGCCCTTAACATACCTTATACATAATCGAAAAAATTCCCGAAATAAAGGTTATAGCCTTGGATATTCCACCTTTTATGGTTCATGAGTTTTTCCAATAGAAAAAATGGTTTGCTAGATTTGTTTACTACAACTATATAGTAATAGTAAATGACGTCATCGCTACTAGATTGAGCACGAGAAATGGCGATTTTCATATGTTTTTTTAAATATCTCGAACAGCGTGTGTGATAGACGAAAACCATGAAAGCAAAAATTGTAACCAGTAACCAAGCAGCCATATTTTTCACAAATTTTGATTTACGGATAATCATTTACTCTCAAAAGGAACAATTTTCAGGGTCTTATAGATTCTTGTCCATAATGGAAAAAAAAAATGATTGAAATAAATATACCTCCGGATCTGAGATATTACTTATTTTCTTTAAACTAGAATAACGCAAAAAAAAATTAGAAAATATTGGGTCTACCAATACGAGAAATATAATTTTCGAAGGTCAGGGCGTATAATGTTAATTGTGATGACGCGAAGCAAGTGTGGTTTATGTTTTTGCAAATTTTAGTTATCGTACAAAGGTACTATGAAAATGGGTGATGGGTTAGGGCTTGTTATCGTGCTCTTCGAGAAGATTTTTGACAACATGAACGACCTTTCGAGCTCCACTCTCAGGCGCATAAATGGCAAGCTTGACCGGAATTACACTTGACTTGATCGTGAGCCACCGACAAGACGAAGAACTACAAGGAGTGTTGAAAATATCGCTGCGTTGTGCGCCGCTCTCAGCAACTGGACCTTACACCAATATCATCTTTTGAAGAACGATTTAGATCTACATCACTGTAAGGTGGTTCTAACTCACTTTTGCAGAAGAAAATGCTGATTTTGGTAAACAAATCATTTTTTCAGGTGAGGCCTATTTTTCGTTTAATGGCTTTGTGAACACTCAAAATTGCCGCTTCTGGTGTATGAATAACATCACGTCAAGTCAAATTTACTGTATAGTGTGCTTGGCAAGCCGGCCGAATTATCGGTACCTACTTTTTTGAGGCATACTCTAACAGTGAATGCAAAGCACTAACGCAAGATGATAAGCGGCTTTCTTTGGCTGGAGTAGTTTCAACAGCACGGTGCCACATGGCATACTGCCCGAGACATGAATTTATCCAGATAGCGTTTTGAGGGACGAATAATTAAATAAATATAATAAAGTCTTTGGTTACAATCCCCAAACTAGCGACGACTTAAAAACTAACATCCAACTAGTTATTCACGAAATTCATCCCAACTTGTCGGGAAAAGTTATTGAAAATTGGGTTAATCTGTCGCCGCAGCCGAGGTGGCCATATACCTAAATACCTATATTTTTTTCGATAGCATAATCGGTTTTTGAGTAATAATTTTCTCTTGCCCGCCGAGGTTCGACCATATATTTTGTGCTGACTGTTAAAAAAGAACAAAATTTTAACGAACTAGCTCAAAAAGTTTAGAAGACATATCCAAAAAATCCAGGAAAAGGGAACGTATAGACAAAAACTTTTTTTTTTGGACGCTGAGTCGTTCTCTACCAACGGCGGTATTATTGCCGCGATATAAAATTTGGATACGAGCGTAGATACTTTCGAAAAATTAGATTTTTTGATTGATTTTTCGAAAGTAATAAGTATATAAAATTAAAATTTCAATAATATTTAATACGAAAGTCTGCAGCACGGGAAATGGAATTTTTTTTTCTCTATCTCCATCAGAAAATTTCACATTTTCTTCCATATTATTGTAGTGGAAAAAGAACATTTTCGAAAATGGCAAGAAATCAAATTTACTACAAATTATTATTAATTTATGGACAAGGGACGTAGCTTTCTGTTTTCCAAAAATATTCACTTAATACCCCTTACGGATGCCATTGGTTAAGATTTTAAAAATTAATTTGCAAAACCTTTTTTTTTTCTTAGAACTTTAAACCTTGTATTGTGAAAACGAAGCAATTTTGAAGATTTTATGTACTTTGGCAATACAAAAGGGTTTCTTATCAGTTATTAGAGTTTGTCCCCGAAAACCGGGGCCACCCTGTGTTGTTGAATAGAATACAAAAGTGACTGCAAAGATTAAAATCAATCGTTGCTAGGCAAATGTTATATCGATACCCTAACCACGGCAACCAACGCACATTAGAGCTCAATTGATAATGACGTGAATGACGTGAACTCAAAATGGCGAAGAAAGGTCAACCGATTCAACTTCAAATCGAGGTCAACAATGACGAAGAATGGGATAAATTGCTTCAGAGAGATGGGTTGATCGGTGTGGTACATACCTACCACGACCAAGTTGCTATTTTTATGGGACGTTTTTGCAGTTGTTGATGTGTATTCCGATTGGTGTGGACCATGTTTGGGAATGCAGGCCAATTTGAAGAAACTCAAGCTGGAGATCGGAGGTGATATGCTACAGTTAGCAATTGTGAGTTACTTATACTCATATGAGGCGTTCAATTTTTCGTTTTGGAAAATATTGAATTGAATCGAATGATGTTGCTTATACACATCTCCCCTGATTTTGGTTGATTTGGTTAAATCAGGAAAGTAGTATAAGCCTCATCTCAAAGATTTTGGGAGCCTCTGTGTGTCATATTTCAACCTATTCAAGGCCAGACCAGTAGTTTTTCATTTGAGGTTTTGCCGGAGTGTGTATGGGAACTTCTAAGGTTAAATAATAATACTAAGTAATATTGGTAAGGTTCAATCTAATACCAGATGTCTGGCGAACCATATTAGATTTTGCTATGCCTATATCAAGCCCTTTGTGCCATAGTTGTGTATTAAATGTATCATCCGTAGGCTAAATCCGATGGAATAGCCCAGCTGGCCAGATTCAGAAACAAAAGCGAGCCTACCTGGATGTTTCTTTCAGTAAGCAGTCCCTTCCTCAATAGCAAGAATGAATTCAACATTTGTCGTTGTAGAAGGGAAAGATGGTGAATTTGATGTTTGGCGCGGACGCACCGAAATTGACTCGCTTAATCGTGGAAGAACTCAAAAAGGAGCAACTTACGTTGGATGGAAAAACTACAGATCGTACACCTATAGATATTACGGAACTGGCCGAGGAGGAGAAAATACGTTATGATGCTGCCGAAGCGATCAGAAGGGAGGCCAAGGAAAAGGAGGAGCGGAAAAAGGCGAAGGAATTGATGGAAAGACGTACCGCTGAGTGTGAGAACATCTGCAAAAATTTGCCCAACTACGGAACCGCCATCATCTTTCCTTGCGCCAGGGACAAGTACAAGGAAGTTATCGGAGAACTGGTCGATGAAGCCGGATTGGTGATATCGCAAACGGAGAAGGTAACTGAGTATTTGGTTTCCTATAGTTGAGGGGAAAATTTGGGTCGTCTCTCAGGTTCGGTTTACAGATGAACTTTTGAACGAACTTTGTTATTTCACCAGTCGAGAACAAGAATTTTCGGATGTAGATATAACAGAACTTCTTACGAAAGAAAGTTTGGTGTTACTTTTTAAAATTAGTCATAAGTCCGATATTGAGGACATAGACGGGGCCATTCTCTCGTTGGTATATGGAGACAGCCAAAAACTCCCTGGCTCGCCCGACAGTGTCGCACAGAATTTAATGGTGGAAGTAGAGGAAGGTTATCAAAGGTTATTTGTCTGCTGGCAGTTGTAAACTTCTTGCAAAACTTATAGGCCCGGAGGAACTAGCCGGAATATGGGCTCCAGACGACCCATTCGTCCGGGCTACAAGTTTGAAACTATTTTTTACAAAGTTATCCCAAGATTACACCATTCCTGAGCCCGAACCCATCCCTGAGCATTTGGCAATCATCTTCGGCTATGATAAAAAGGAGGACGTATTCCAAGTCGTCGGGGAATATCAAGATGAAGTTATGCGGTATGGGTTTTTCACTACGGAAAAACCGGATAATACTCAACTGGTAGCTAAAAGTGTCAGAAGGTTGGAAAAGATGGACCCCAGTGAACGCTCATTGTGAGTCGAATATTGTATCCATATCCCATCACCGCACACCACTTAATTTGAAGCAATTTGGAAAATTTTTGTACTCAGCTTGTCAAAAATATCAACTATGGATTTTTTGCGCATTGATGGACTCTAAGTTTAATATTTGGTTATTGCCCGTATTGTCTAGCTCCGAAAAAATTGTCCTCCAAGTTACGAAGCGTAAAAGCGAATGCACTCTGGCCTTCGCTCAGCTTGGTCCCATTTATATGTCTCCGAATACGCACGAAGGCCAGCTGGAGTGCGTAAAGTTCTTTGGCGAGGATTACGATGAATTGTCGGTGACAGACGAGGAGGAGCCTGATGAAATTTCTCCAACGCCCGAAGATTCTCCGGAGGAACCACCAGACGACGATCAAGATCCTGCCGAAGAAACAGTAGAGGAACTAGACGATGAAGCCTAGCTTGTTCGTTGTTAAATTGAAAATAAATAATCAGTTTCGAAATTTGTTTAAAGATATGCCGCATTTTAATGAATCTTCGAGACTAATAATTATATTTCTTAGGTTAAGATAACCGTGGAAATGCTTGAAGAGCTTTTGTATTTCGCGAACTACAAATTCCCAGAGAAGACGACAGAAGATATCGTCGCGAATAAGCTGTCTTTCGCGCTCCTTTTCAAAAGAAGCTCCGATGGGCTCACGGGTTGCATAGACGACGTGGTCTTGCAATTGGTGTACGGTAACTCGAGGCGACCGCCTGGGGACGATAACTCCCCTAGCCAAAAACTTTCTAAGCCAGGTGCGGAACAAAATTTGCCTGAAGAGGAAGCCCAAGACAATGTTGTTTTGGGAATATGGGCGCCTGGCAATTGTTTGGCCAGGGCTATGATATTAAAAGTGCTTTTCCCAACGATTTCCTCCCCTTTCCTACTGCCCGATGTCAAAGAGGTCCCCGTTCACGTTGCTATGGCGTTCGACGCATTCAAGGGTACTACTTGCGAAGATCTAAGTGTAATTTTTACCATCGCTGCTTTTTAGCCAAAGACGTGATGGAGTTGTCCGATAAGTATCCCGAGCACGTCTTGAGTTACGGATATTTTTCCAGTGACGTAGTGGGGGAAGCGAAACTGATCGCCAAAACGACCGATAAGTTCGAAAGTCGCACCGCTTCGGCTACATAGTGCGTACCTAGTGTTCTAATAAATGCTACGAGATACGGTATTGCGGTATGCGGTATATAATTTTTTTTAAAAAATTGTCAGCAAATCGCTGCCAATTAATTTCTGAAAGGGCTACTAAGGGACGTAATCGCCATCTCCATACCATAGGGTGGATACTATTGTAAAGTTTCAAATTCAATTTTTTTTATTTATCACTTTTGGCATAATTATTAAATTTGGTTTTGAATAATTCAATAGATTCAACTAAGAGTCTCAATGAGAACCTCGTCTTAGTATCTTCATATTTACCTAAAATATGAATAAAGGAATCAAAAATTTTTAAAAAAGTTATCCAAAATTTAGCAAATTGAACGCTATATTGTAATTAAATATGCCAAATGATATTTAAAATCGAAATAAAATTCAAAATATTTTTTTAGTATTTTAATAATATTCGAAGGGCACAAAATTAATCGATAGCCTGACATTACTAAGACCTAAGCTGGGATAAATAAGATAGGCAACCAAATTAAGTTAAAATATCTAAAATAAAGAAATAATAATAACAATAGTATGGATGCTATATGTATATATTTTTTTCGATTTTTGACCCAAAGCGGCTATGCTGACTTTTTCTAAACCCGATATGTGAATACCTGCCGAAGAGGGACGAATAGAAGACAGGTTGATACCTTTTTTGTAGAAAAAGATTTAGAGTATCGATATAATCAAACACCCCGATAATATAAACGGTGACACAGGTTTCTACCTGTATTCCATTTGGGATTCGGGCTTCCGTGAAGCAACTAGACCTTCCCCTGCCATTCGACCTTGCCTGGCAAGTATTTAAGGTTTGCGCAGACCAATAATCAAATCAGTTTCAGCCAGCCCTCTGAAAAAGCGAGCAGTCAGCGAGATAGAATCTACATCTTAAGCAGGACAAATCTAGAAAATGTATTCCTACCAGTTCCACAGTTACTTAAAAAAAAACAATTTGGAATAAACCTTAATATTTTTTTATTATTATTTTGTTACTAAAAATTGACTGGTCGTTTTTATCTATGGAGAAGAAGTTCAGCTTATTTCATTGACTGTAAATTTCTTAGAATTCTGTAGATGTTTAAGATAATCTCTATTTGCATAGATAGATAGATATGCTATTTCGTAGACCAGAGTACTTAATATAATTTTGAAAACATTTTGTCACAACTCCATATACCGTTATACCATTACAATTGGGGTGTTTTTTATGCTGTTTGTATTAGATTATGTGTAAGAGGCATTGCAACATCCATTACCAATTCTTGTTTTTTTTATTTTTAATTACAATATTTGGATATGTCTGTTTGTATATGATTCTTTCTTGACTTTCTAGAATAACGTTGGGATTATTTCATTTATCCGATAATCGTTATTCTCCAGAAAATACTACTGCATTTTTCACTGGGGCCTCGCATTGTCCTCGACCACCCTGATAATCGCTCAACTGCAGAAAGCATCTGAATTTTACCATCATGCACTTGGTTAATCTGTCGAACTTTTCCAAATCAGTGCTGTTCCATTTGACCACTCCAAATGAGTTTATATTCTTTTTTGAATTAAGTATTTAGGAATTTCATCAGCCGTTTTCATATCTTTCTACCAGATATTTTTTAAGCTATGTTTATTTTAAGCCTTGTTCCAATCGGAACCTCACTTTCATCTAATGGTAATTCTGATATACCGGCAATAACCCCATTATTGTTTGTTAGTTTCCCCCGTTTTTATTATTATTATTATTATTATTATTATTGTTGTTATTATTATTACTATTATTATTATCATTATTATTATTGTTGTTATTATTATTATTATTAGTCACGCTTGTTTCGTGTTGTCACTTAAGAGCCGGCAGACGGTCGCCTGCAAAGCGCTTAAAGTCTATTGGTCGGTCAAGTTAATGTTTAAAACCTTTCTCATGATGTTGCATGAAGACAGAAACACAGCCTTCTAGAGTTGCCCGAACAGGCAAACGGAAAAATTCAATTTTTCCAGCTTGAGATAGTTCGGACAGCACGCACTCTTCAGGTTTTTTTGACGTCCTCTGCCAGAGGTAAGTATTTTTCAACTTTCTCTCGGTATTTTTTATACAGATTTGCAGGTGATGGAACAGCAACGTCAATAAAAGCATCCTCCTTCTTTTCCTTATTGTAAATTGCGATGTAGGGTGTGTTATGGTGTCTTGGTTTATCCGTCAGGACTTCTCGATCCCACTAAAGCGAGCATTCTCCAGAACTAAGTCAGGAGCATATATTTATGGTACCGTTTTTTGCATCAATCTATCTATGACAGATTTGGCTACGTTGTTGTGTCTGGTTGCATATTCTCGGGGCGCCAGAGTTTCGCATCCACTAAAGATGTGCTCGATATTCTCGTGTGCTCCGCCACACATGTGGGACTGTGTATCTGTTACTCTGTCATCTTTGACAATATATTTCAGATGGTATTTGGTTGCTACAACTTGGTCTTGAATGGCGCAGACAAAGCCATCGGTCATTCAACTGGTTGATGTATCTGCCGTGAAGCTCTTTTTGTTTCCATCTGCCTAAAAGTTCGGGGATGTTAAAATCTGCATCGCATTTATATCCTGAATTCTTGAGCTTTAATGGCGTAAAGTTAGTGTTTAATTAATATTATTATTATTATTATTATTATTATTATTATTATTATTATTATTATTATTATTATATTACATCCTTACTCGGTTTTCAAAGATTAAGTATTATCACCTTCATTAAACATTAAGTTGAATCACTAATTCGGTGACTACTCAATTTTTGGACACTAATGTTATTAATTATTTAGTTATTTATTGCAAAGGGCGTTAAATAAATAAGATTTTTATTGATTTCAGCATTAAAACTACTCTCTCTTACCGTGGTGTAGATATGAAAATTACGCCCTCTGTTGGCCATTTCAGAAACTGGAAAATGATTTGCAGCATCTTGTCTAGCCGGTTTACTTAACAATTTTTTGCCAATTTCCTAGCACCACCAGTTTTCCTTATACCCTACCTCGTTGCCCTCACTGGGAGACTCGGTATATACCGTAAGTTGCCGTCTGAAAAGTGTGACTTGACTTTTTCTGCAGCGAAGAAAAATTCGTTATTCAGCTGGCGAAAATCGACCCGGAAGTTTTTGCGGCCTTCGAGGATTTGGGATATACTTACATGAGCAAAGATGTTGAAATAGGCGAAAGCGATTGTAATTATTTCTTTCCTGACGATTACAATACACCCGAGGCAGAGATAATCACGTATCTGAAGAAGAAGTCCAAGAAGAAAGGTAAGAATGGCGACAACGCACAAAATATTTTGGGTATAACTTTTTCCCAACAAATTTAAAATCCAAAAACAATGTATTTTCATTTAGACTTGTGTCGAGAAGCGAAGAGAGGAAATAAAAACTGTTATTATAAATTATAGCCACAGTAAAAAAAGTAATTTAACTAATAAACGGTTTGACCTATCAAACTATCTTTTACAATATATTTAAATTTATTGTCGCATTATTGCCATCCCTTTCATTGATATTGGAAAATATAGGGTTATTGCAGCAAACAATTTATGACTAGGAATTTCCCTAGCAAAATAGCTTTAGGATTAAGTTTAATATTCATTATACAGTTAAAAATAAAGACATGAAAGAATACATCGTTCCAAGGATTCGCTTTTGCAATATTTCACCAGAGCGTGATGAGTGACATATAATGCCATAGATCAGGGAAGAATTCATATATGCAAAATAATCTGAACTTAAAAGATATCTTAGCATCACGTAGGAGTAAGTAGAATTTTTTTTTAATATGAAACAATTTGATTGATCCGGTTTAGGCAAGAATGAAAATAAATATACTGCCTAATGAATGATCTTATCGTGTGCAAGATGTAAAAACAGAACTTCCGATTGTAATTTGTGTTTCAAACAAGTCCATATTTGAAGGAAATCATTATGAAAATTAACAAGAATATTAGGTTTTCGCTAAATAGGACTATTTCCAGAGATTTTTATGTGAAGTGCCACATATAGTGGATGATCGTGTTCAATTTTCAAAATGAAAATTGAGAAAAGTGGAATTTTTAGATGAAACGTGGATGTTTTCTAATGGAAGTGGTTCAAGATCTTACCAAAATGAGTATGTAAAATTTGTTAAGACGAACGGTTCATTGTTTTGCAACTATGTAATATGCTTACTAATATCACAATTTTAGAATTCTCTAGGTTTTTTGATTGGATTCATAAAATTAGTGACCTTTGGACCCGCATGATGAGAAGGGATTTATCTATAACCTTATTCTATCAGTATTCAATGTACTTCATACTACAAAATCAAAAGCAGATGCGGCATAGTTAACAAAAGAGATAGGTAAACGTCAGCAAAAAGTGGGAAAATATCATTAATAAATCCTATAAACTAAAGAGCAACTAACAAGATATTCTTAGATATAACTATTAGTTCTATCCTTGAGCTTTACTACTAGCATACTAACTAACATTTATAACTTCAAAAGCTCGCTGTAAATAAATAATGCCCTACATTTCGATTGTGGTCTAAAATGATACATTGAGCGTCCTTATATGAAGCTTCAATTCCATATTTGAGAAAAAGAAAGATAACAGACATCTAAAAAGCGTTCAAAAAGATTTTGGAAAACACGAACAGCAGGACCACTATAAGTAGAAATTAACCTACGATCGCTCTTTTTCGGCCTAAGGAATCATTACTATTAAATTTATGAAATTCAATGTACGGGGGTTTCTAATTAGAACAGATCCAATAATTAAGCTACTAAACTTTATTATTTTAAAAATAATAAGTTATGTTTTTATTCCGTTTTTAAATTGATATTAAAAGTATCGTTCATATAACATACCCCACACCCAAATTCACCCTAGTTTTTCCAGGAATTATAAAAAACGAAAATATTTAATGATGTAATCAATAAACTGGAATTTAATTTATGAACGACATATTTAAAAATTACAAATTGTGCTTATTTTAATAAGTGTTCAAACTGAAGTTTTTGTACTTGACAATGTCCTAAGCGGTCTGAAAATTCTCGGTATTTTTGAAAGCAGGTGTTATACCACTAATTTCGACTCTTAAAATTTCAAGTATTTACACGTTACAGTTTTTTGTCATTCTAGCCAAGGCTAAGAGCGAAGGCCAAGAGAATTTCGGTATCTAAAATACTTTTTTACAATTTTACTAGCAATCCAAAAGTAGAATAAAAACATTTAAAATAAAAAAGATTGTAGATTAACAAAAAAACGAGTAAGTCAAACATATACTTTAAAGTAGGGTAAAAAGAACTATTTTTCTGTGAAACAGGTAAGATTATATTGGGCATTTCATCAACAGGAACTGGAGAGAAATAGAGGCTATTGGAGACAAATATAGTAGGCAACTAAGTTCGGTCCCACACATGACGGAATAAAGAAGGAATTTCCGAGCAGAAAAATACGCTTCCGCTTTAATTAACCCACATCCAGAGCGATATAGATTCCGCTTCCCCTTTTGTCATTTTCCCTTCTCGCTAAGAAACAAATACGAGTACAGTAATTTACAGATAAAGAATATAGATTTTAACGTAAACATATCTTCTTTTTTCTTCTTCAAGTGACTATTCGTTCCACACACTGGAGATATTGCGAATTTGTTGAATAATGCAGTGTGGTTTTGGAAAACCATATTCTTAAGTTCTTCAACCATGATATCCTTGCCTCACGTGTCTCTCTTGTCCTAGATTTTTCCCTAGAGGATATCTTTAAGGCAATGTATTTGTTTCCGTTTCGCAGTATATAGCTCATATATTCAAGTTTTTTTTGTTTGTGTTTATCACATCTCTTCCTTCACTCATTCTTTCTACACGAGTAATAATTAACAATATTGATAAAACAATCAATACGGGTATTCCCTCTCGCTTTTATGACTGCTTGTAATCGACGAGGCATGCAATTAAATTACGGATTACGCTCTGGTCCATGTTGTTCCATTCCTGTAACTCCTGTAACTCTCTCAGCATCGTCCCATGTCATCCCACACATGTTCAAGGGACTGAGTGCTGGCCGATCAAACCGACTAATTCACGCCTCATTTAGAGATTGACTGAAAATTCTGGAGGTGTAATGGTAATCATTAAGGCCATAGTTGTCAGAGAGCCATTCTGTATAAGGACCAACTCTGTAGGTGCCAGCCAAACCATAACCGAACCGCCATCATGTGGAAGTCTTTCATCAATCATCATGTATCAAAAACGGGATTTATCGGAAAACATACCTCGCTCATTCTAGTCTAAGAGATTTCGGGCAAAAACTTGCTATTCGATAGCATCGGTGCAATGGCGGCCCTGTATCCATTCTCCGAAAAGACAATCCATTAACACGACGCCTTCGTCTAAGAGTCCATTCGATAACATTAAGATTTCTAACCTATTGAAGTTGATTTCGAGGCCAAATAGCAGAAGCTGTCCTATTTCGCAAACCTGTGGACACCAAAAATCGTTCATCCCTTTAGCGAGTGATCTTCCACGGCATCCTGGTCTTCTAGTGATGAAGCCAGTCCGACGTTGCGTTGCTATACATTTTGTACAACACATAGACCCCTTACCAACAATTCTTGCAGTTTCCCGTTTTCCTTGACCATCTTATATGAATGCTACAATTCTAGCTACAACAATAGGATCTAAAGGCAGTTAGATACACCTTAGATCTGAAATACACCAAACAATCAAAATTTGTATAGAGATAAATCAACAATAAACTGGATAGTACCTAACCCACTACATTTTAATTAGGCCGAACTTACGTTATTTCATAAAAATTCCAAACTACGCTTCCAATACTTACCTAATAGACCGACGATTCGGTGATAAACTTTTTGTTGCAAATTATTTGAAATTTCTTGAGTGACGTAAATTTTCAAATTCTTAAGGTCTTTTTGGGTTACTTCTGTCAGTGTCAATGTCAATTTGGACATCTTAATAAAGTTTGTTTTGTTTTTTATTCAACATTTAATCTTTTGAGACCCTCATTGCTCGTTAATTATAGTTCCCAAATAAGTAAATTTGGACACTCTTTCCACTAGACTTTCTGATAACCAGTTGACACTTTCGGATTGCCTATCTACTTATTATCTTGGACTTTGTTTACTGACATGACATGAAGTAAACTACAATCGGTTTACTTACGTAGCAGCATCGTATTTTTTCCTTCTTGGTCGAAGCTTACCACTTTTTTCCCCATCAACTCACCAATTTTCCAGCACTATTTTTCCTTGTTCTGTCTTTATATTCGTCCACCCTCTTATCCCAAACACTTGGACGATTTCATTTATTTTTATTCGAGTTAAAAAAAAAATTCCTCTGACGTCCGGTATTTTTACGTTTTTGCTGTTTTAGGAAGACTGGGGAAATTTCCAATCAATTCGGACACAGTTAAAAACGACGTACCGGCCGAAAACGTTAACTCAACGGTCGATGCCGGACGCGGCGAAGACACGCTGATTAACGGAGAGGAAATCAACGACGAAGAGCGCGATAGCGACGACGAACACGAGATCGAAGACGAGAAAAAGGCAAAATCGATTGAGAAGGAGGAACTAGACAGCATTGACAAAGCCACGTCTCCTATAAACCAAGTCTAGGTATAGTTTTCGCGTATATATGAGCGTCCAAAGAACTAGATAAAGAATGTTCTCTTTTATTAGTGCAAATTTTTTAGTTGTGCAGCAGTGGCTAAACAACCACAACTAACCACTATTACCATTGGTAACAGTTTAAAATGAGAATAAATTAATTTTTCAAAAAAACTTCCACAGGCTACTGTAATACTTTTTACAAAACTTCTGGATTCCTCCTGCGTCTGTCGAACTTGCTGACGTTTCGCCAGTCATCCTGTTGGCTTCTTCAGAGCTTGACTGAAGCTGTCTGAAACGTCAGCAAGTTCGACTCAGCAAAAACAGACGCAGGAGAAATCCAGAAGTTTTGTAAAAATAGAATAAATTAATATTTTATGACTACTGTGAAATAATTCATTTTATTTGTAACTCTATAGTAATCAACTTTACTACTAGGCAATTGAAGGCAATTATGATTGATAAAATTAAATCAGAAATTGCAGAACCAAGGTTTGTAGCTGTTATATTGCATGAAAGCACCGATGTTTCAAACCAATCGCAACTTTCGGCGTTATTTAGATATGTTGGTGGAAAGTTTTTGAAATTTGTCGAAGAGATCCATGCCCATAGAGCAAATTTGGTTTTACAGCAATCAGTGGAATATATTAAAGAGTGTAAATTTCTTTTTCCAAACATTATTAGCGCTTGCTGTATTTTTTTTAAATGCTCACAAATGGCTGTTGATAACTTAGTACAAAAAAGTTTACCCAAAGTAGGAATAACTAGGTAATAATTTTGAAAGTCTGATCAAAACAAGAAATTCTTTTAAATGACGATGTACCCACATTCGACAAGAGGCAACGAATTACAAACTTGAACAATGATAAAGAGACGTCTTATCGACGACTATTTTTTGAAATTTTTGACACCATAACAGATTTTCCTACTTCAAACATCTAGAATGTTGGGCACTATATGATTTTGATCAAAATTATGCACAAAAATGGAGTTTTCAACAAAAATTCCTGCTACAAGTGCATCATTAAAAGTTGTCATGTCGTCACTTTTTTTAAATTTCTAAATGATTTAATTCGACGATTGTGTTGTTAACATTTTTGTAAATAATGGAAATCGCCGAATTTACTTGAAATATAAACAGTAATAAAGTATGCATATAGTTTTAAAGATATGTTTTTCTTTGTTCATTGGCTTTTGTTCTGTGTGTAGTAGAATGGTATATTCTTTTATTGTTTGTTGGTAATTTATAATTATTAAACATTGTTCGAAAATAGTGATTTATTTTATTGTGTATTGAATTAGTCATAGTATAAACGACAGGTATATCAAGTGTCAAGCAATTTGAAGCAAGCAAGCTGAAATAAAATATCTAAACTAAGAAAAAACATATTTGGAAGGTTCAAAATAAACTTTTTTTAAATAAGATTTTTTACATTGTTTTACACTGTTATGTTAATAGAACATTAAAGAACAACAATTTTGTATTAATAAATATAATATTATAAGAAAATAAATAACGTCCGAGAAGTATCTTAGATATTTTTTAAGACTACTACTACTTGTACTATTACTACTTGTAGAGTCGTCTGTAAACACTGGTTCGCTCTGTGGAACAAAAATGCTTCTACGGAGTTCGAAGAACATTTATAGTCGTCTCGTGAATGGAGCCGTGCTGTTATTTTAGAATAATTATGATAATTACTGACGTCCGACACATAATTTGCTTTAATAAGGTTGAGACTTGGAATGCTGATAACATCGTTAAATTCGTACGTGAATTGCATATTTGCCGATCAAATGGATTGAGGAAAATGTTGATTTATGGAAATCTGTCAAATATACCGTCTGCAACACGTTCATTGATTATGAAATGAAATAAACCCTCCAGCTTTTGCTTTTTTTGATATAATGCATGATCAAGCTTGGGTGCCAAAATATGGCCCTGTACCGGATAGCCAATTAAGAATTGGAGTGAGTGTATAAAATTTTTAGAATATATGCATCGAAATGAACAAAAAATGAATATATTAATTTTTATTATATGCAAAATTATGATCATTAATGTTATTTTATTTCTTTATAATTAAACCCGTTCTTCCTATAATTATTTACCAATACCACAGACCCATTTGAATGACGATTATATCAGTGAATGTATTCGTATTGTTTTGCAAAAATGTACCCAAAAACCAATGGTCGTAGAAAAAATATAATACGCAACTTGTTAAGGTTTTCAAACGACGGGTCTCGTTTTCAAAAACACTTTTTATTATTTTACAAACAGGAGTAAGAGCTTTCCATCAAGCCGTTACAAGGAGAATTCCCTACAAAGTACATTGTACACATATTTATAACGTTGTTATGCGAACGTCGCGTTGCAGATACTAGGAATGCTGAAGCCTAGCATTTCTTGTAGCCAGCAGCATATTCTATCACATAATGAACACGTTTGGAAACTTTTTAAGTCACTCGTTTATTAAGCACTCGCTCCGTTGCGCTATGCGCGTGTCAAACATGTGAGTCAAATGCTTTACCACACTTGTTGCATAATATACTATTCTCTTCTGTAAAATACCTTTTTCTACTCCCGTCTGTAAAATACCAATTAAGCGTGCGGGAAGCGTCACTTTACCACGTCAGTTTCATTTCCCATGAATCCGAGCCACTTCGGACATTTCCGGGATTTTACCGCACGGATAAAAGTGGGGGTATAAAAGAGATATTGCGAGTATTGAAAAATATCTAAACAAATGTTAAACATCTTTTTGGATGTAATGGTGATGATGGGTTCGGTATCTTTCAATGGGACCTAAACGAAGATAAAGTGACGTTTCCAACTATACTGCCAGAGGCTTAAAGAAGGCATAAAATATCTAAACAACTGTTAAACATCGTTTTTTATTTAATGGTGATAATGATGGGTTCATTATCATTCAATGGCACTTGAACAAAAATAAAGGTATTAGGTGAACGACAGCTATGCCAAAATTTTCCTCAAGTACTAACATCGTTACAAAGAACACGCAACCACAAAATTCGATGTCACCATTCAATTCTATTGTCATAAACATACGGGGGTGTGAAGGTGCTTTAACTTTCTTGTGCACAATCTAGCACACTCCGAAGCCAACACCGCACTGTGGGTGCCTGTGAATGTCTTCCCAAATACGAAATTTGAAAGCCTAAAGGCTTACAATAACTGACATACTTTCCTCCGAGCTTCCCTCCATTCAACGGGTGAAATTAGCTAATATGAAATGGTGAATAGCAATAACAAATATTTATTCACATACATAGTATGCAACACGTTTGGTAAAGAGTTTAAGTCACTGGTCACTCGCTCGTGCCAAAAAACTCGTGACTCAAATACCGTTCACCACACTTGTTGCATAATATACCATTTCTTGATAGGACCGAGTGTCCTTCTCTGTTGGCGACCCAGTACAATTTGCAGTGATTAACATAATACAGAATTTATTTCAAATTGATAGAAGTTGTATTTTTTCTCACCGAGGGAAAAATATGCAAATTTTGCAAACCTCTTTCAACATTTTATTGTATGATAAAGCTAATGTTATCATGAAGAATTATTGCAGCACTATTAGGAGTATTTATCTATGTTCATTACCCACCTGAAACATTGGTACAATTTTTAGAAACCCACTTAAATAATTATCCCGTTGATGTCGAGTAGTTCATAGAACAATTGCTGCGTTTTCCGAGTTGAGACTTTCAGCAGAAAGCAAAATATTTAATTATTGAAATAAATTTTAGCCACCGATAGACAAGAAGGGGCAGATCCTATAAAAAAAAAGTTCTTCAAAAATGTAAAATTAAATACAACATTTTTTGTCAAGGTCGGTAATGATAACAAACAACGCAATTTCGTTTACAGAAATGTAAACAAAAATTTGCACAAATTTTCCGATGTAGGTTTCCATCTGATAAGACTAATTACTCCTATGGTAAGTTAACTAATGGCAAAATTATCGCCGAACCCAATTTTTTTCCTCAGGTGTATTTTGGCTGACGTGTGAATTTAACTTAACTTTAGATTTTTTATGCATCTAGGTATGAATAAAAAGACACGTAGTTGACGACTAAAAAAAACTATACGGAAAGAAAGCTTGCAACCCAGCTCATCAGTATAATAATAATAGTAATGTTTATTGCCATTGACTTTTAACAAAAGTATCGGATAATGTCAACAAGTAAAAAAAATACATTAGAACACCAAAATACAAACTTTAAAAACAGATACGTACAAACACACAAAGTATATCACATTGAGAGATCAGCATTACTACAATCAAAGTATTCATCGATAGAATAAAAAACATTCTTATTTAAAATAAGCTTTCATTTTTGCTTAAATAAATGAACAGGGAATATCTGTTTGACGGACAAAGGCAACTTATCATACAGTTTTATTGGTAAAATTATAGGGCTGTTAGCTACTTTGGCTTTGACTTTTGACTTGGCACCTGCAAATTACGATTAGCTCTAAAATTGTAAACTCCATTAATTCTGGTCATGCAATAATTTGATAGATTACTCTTTATGTTAATTATGCTATTTAATAAAATGAGAGAGGGAAACGTTAAAATATTTAATTTTGGGTTTTACAAGAGTGACCACGAGACTTCCCCAACATTGTTCGAACAATACGTTTTTGTTGGACGAAAACTTCACTAGCTCTGGAAGAGTTTCCCCAGCATATAATAGCGTAAGATAAGCAAGATTGAACATATCCGAAATAATACAATAGTAAGAGCTGAAGATCCACATTCGCCCGCAGTCGCCAAATAACAACATAGCCATTTTGTTTAATACGTAGTCAATTTAACCTGTCCAGGACAAATTACTGTCTATGAAACAACCCAAATACTTGACAACGTTAGTCTGATTAATCGATTTGCAGTGCATTCTAACCAATAAGCTCTAATCCCGAGAACAACATGATATCAGTCTTTGTCCCGTTCAAACAAATACCGTTATGCTCACAATATCGAGTCATACCACTTACTGCCCTAGTGGCCAAGAACTTGAGATATTGCAGCCTCTGAGATGACACTGCCACAGCAGTATCATCTGCATATAAGGAAACATAATTGTCTGGGAAATAATCAGATATATCATTAATAAATATTATAAATAATATAGGTCCCAGTATGCTTCCCTGTGGGACACCGCTTGTGAGTTCTTTAGATGAGCATCTAATCACAGAAGTATCACTTCTAAGCACAACTCTTGGTCACGACCCTTCAAAAATGACTCAATCCAGGCGTAACTATTCCCCCGTATACCGCAATTGTTTAACTTATTCAACGACAAATTTATATCAAGCACATCAAAAGCTCGCTTGAAATCAAAGAAGATAAATAATGTTTTATTATTCTGATTTAGGTTCGAAACTATTTGATTATATAAAGAAACTAAACAGTCTTGAGTAAATGATCCATTGCGAAAACCAAACTGAGAATTCGAGAAGAATTGCTCCTTCTTCAGAAATGGATCGGGCCGCACGTAAAAACACTTTCCGAATACTTTGGACAGTAATTAGAAATTAAATGAGTATTGTTCTTCTTGTGTATAGGCACAACAATGGAGTGTTTTAAGGCTGAGGGAAATACACCTTCTAAAAAAGACAGATTAATCAAAAAAGGAACAAGTTGAACTATAAAATCTATAACACGTTTTATTAATGAACAGGGTATTTCATCGCACCCAGTTGAATCCTTTTTTGTATCTGACGAAAGGTGTTAAGAATAGACTTCGACTTGAAGATTAAGTATATGCCTGTGAAAATTATCGGCATTTATTAATAGTATCATTGTCCAAACGGCTTGGCGTAACAAATATCTGCTAAAACGTGCCACGTGGACACCATATGCGAAAAGAAAACCTCAACTTGCGAATTGAATTTTATTGATTGTTGGATTAATAAATATATACAAATTGGCCCGTAAAATATTCGCATCCTACCTAATCCTAATTATCACGTTTTTATAAATAAGTGCCTTAACCTACTAAGTACATTTTGCATGATTATGAAAATGTCGTTAACCATTAACCTAACACAGCCTTTTTTTAATACAGGATATTTTTAGCGTATCGCCCATCGAAAATAAAAATGACGTACTGACCACGGAAATTTACCTCGGCCAATTTTTTTCTTTGCTTTACATCAGCCGTTTCTGCGCGAGGCAGAAATAGTTATTTCTCCATTCGCCAGTTGGCTAAAAGGATTGCCTCAAACGCCAGAGTTGCAGAATAATATAATTGAATTACTCGAAACCAATCGCGCGGGCAGCGCGCTAAACCTATTTATTTTTCTCGGCATTTTTTTACGTTAAAAACAATTACGGATAAAGTGCACCGGGCGTGTTTCAAAAATAAGCCCCGCGATTCTGGTGTCGCAAATAGGACAACTCCTCAATCGTGACGGAAAAAATGCTATTTGCTTACGGAACACAGAAATCTTAATATTTAAAAGCATCTGCGCACCAAGACTCTCAAAAGTCAGATTCAAGTCATTCGATATACCTACAGTTCATTTCACGAAGGTCCTTGCTTACGTTATCAAATGCCTAGCCTTCTTTAACTGTCTTATACAAACTAAAAAGATGGCAGTCGTTGGACAACCCTTGTGAAACGAACTTTACAAATAATATGCTATAATTAATCAATGATGGAAGACATTTTAGTCCTTACTTAAAACTCGACACCTCTAGAGGTAGTTTAAAGAAGCTACATTATAGGACGAATGTTTGCACCAGTTTGTCGACATTCCAATGTATCTCTTATTTTGAACTCTCGTTGATAAGTCATTGACTAAATATATAAAAGCCACAGTCAACTTAAATAGATGCCTAATCCATATGCAGTAAAAATTCCGATTCATTCATCTTCCCACTATTCCCAGTAGATTGGAAAAAGTGGTAATTTTATTTTAAAATTCTCGTCAAAATGTGAAAATACCTTGAAACTATTTGCACAAATTTCAACGACAGAAAATTCATCGTAACTATCACAAATGATTAACTACGAAGTTTTAGTTTATATGTTTAATGCCTACTCGGTCGTCACATAATTATCATGTTGGTAAATAATTATGTGTAGCAATGTGGTGCCCATTATGCGCAACTAATGAGCGTTTAAAAAGGGTTATGGACTTTTATCATAATTCATTATACAGGCTGATTAAAAAAACATGCGCCAACGCTCGACTGGAGATTCGTCGTGCAAAAAAAAAAAAGAAAGAAAATGCATATGCGCAATAACTGAGCTGAAAAAGAAAAGATCTGGAAATTCGATTTACCAAAACTTCATTTTGTTTTACAACGGGAAAGATATGTCACAAATAGGCGGAGCTAGGAATATTACTTCATAAAATATTTGAAGATTGTGTTGTTGTTAATTGTTAATGCGAATATATTGATCGCCTGCCTTAAAATAGACAATGAAAGAATATACTTTATTAGCGTGTATATGCCTGGGGTCCGGTAGCTTTTATAAACTGCAACATCTTACAGAATCCAAAACTATTCAAAATGGGAGACTTGTATTACTGTATGCGCACAAAATGAACTACGAATTAACAAAAAAAGAGCACAAGAAACTAAAACTCAACAATTGACCATAAAATCCCAAATAAAGGAATTCACCCAGGCAAGCGTAAAGATGGATCATCGTCTTGTAGTATGCAAGCGCCGTCTCCAAGAGGTATTTTAAAATAACAAAAGCACGCATGTACTTCGAAAAACTTAATATAGAATCTCTGCAAGGCTACTCAACAAAAAGATTACATCGAAGCTGAATTAAATCCAAACAAATAACGAAAACAATTATCTCCCTCTTGTTCGTAAGACATAGTCTGATGCAACAGACCACTATCAGCTTTATTGCAGATATGTAGTCTAGTAAAGTAATGATTTTTTTCTACTCCCCTCTATTACACACCGATCTAGCGTGCGAGAAGCGTCGCTTTACCACGTCAGTTTCGTTTCCCACGAATCCGAGCCACTTCGGACATTTCCGGGATTTTACCGCACGGATTTGGGAACAATCGGATATTTTCGGAGATATTTCCAACGCTTTGAATTTTGACGTTTGTCAATTCTAACGGTCATGTCAGTGAACATATTCGTGTTGTTTTGCGAAAATGTACCCAAAAACTAACGGTCGTAGAAAAGGTATAGTATGAAACACGTTCGGTAAACTTTTTAACTCACTCGTTTATTAAAAACTCGTGCGTCAAATGCCGTTTACCGCACTTGCATAATATACTATTTCCGACAAGCCGTATTTTTTTAATATTGAACCCCGTATAATGGAAGTATTCCCTTACTAATCAGAGAGAATCTAAACTTCCAATTTTCAAATGTTTACATCAGCATCAATCTTAAGTCGAATGTACCGTGGACAGGCAATATCTATTAGCATCTATCTTTGTAATTAAAAAAACATATATTTCACGGGTGTTTTATATAGTTTTTTGTTAGGATTGTGATAATTCTACAAGAGTTAAAGAATATTCTTACAAATTCGCGAACATGAACAAGAAAATTGCGATCACCTACATTCAGTTAACGCGAACAATGTGAAACACATCTGTTAATGTGAGGTACAAAATTGCATCTGCCTTCCAGACTAACTTTTCCAACCAACATGTATATCGACAGTCTTTTTCACATTAAGGGAGTAAAAATTAAGTACTTGGAGAATCGTAGCCTTCGAATAGTATTTTCCAATTCAGTGCACCGCACAAAAGCACAAAACGTGCACGTAACGCAAGCACCTATATGGCACGTACATTTAACTCGTCATGTTTCCGCGTCCAAGGACGCCCATACTCCCGTTCCATCACGTAGACTTCGAAAACCTACGCCCGTTCGTCCCCTTGTTGTAAATCTGAAACAGATTGAACACGGACAGCGTCGCAGTCGTAGTAGCGGTGTCGCCGTTCTCGTGTGGTCGCCGATTCTCGTTTATTTCGGCCGCGTTTGGTTTGACGCCGCCGCCTTTATCCTGCTGCAGTTCCTTGACCTTCTTCAACTGTTCCAGGGCCTCCTCGTACGTGGGCAGACCGGAAGCGATGGTGTAACTGGGCAGTTCCGACTCGGCACTGCCGGCTTCCACGTTGGTCGAAGTAGGCCTCGTCGTCGGCGTAACTGTAACGACAGGAAAAAACATTATTTTTTTGCACGCGGAAGGTCTCTTCGAGAGGGAGTGCAAAATACGCGCTGGAAAAACCGACGCGCGTACAGGGTGGGTCAATTTCTAGCTGAAATCATAACGTTCTAATATTTGTAGAGGTATCTTTATACCACTATACCGAAATAGGACAAAGCTGGCCGCCTTTATAAATTATCTGACATTTTTAAATTCCATACTCAACGAGATACGATAAAAGTTTTATTTAGAAAACACCAGATGGCGCCAAAAACCATAATTTCTTGGAAAACGCGAAGACCCATAAGTAAATATCCTGGAAAATTTATCCTCCTGCATCAGTTGTTGATGAAACGATGACGTTTCATAACTTATCCTGTTGGCTTCTTCGTAGCTTTACTGAAACTAGTTTTTTATTTGATTGAGGAAGGCGGATGTAAATGAAAGACATGAACATGACTCATTCCCATATTGGTGAAAGATAAAGATCCAAGTTACTGTTGACATTGTTTAAAGATTTCGGTTCATTCTTGGATTTTTCTTTGGTTGAAGAATTGATTACATGCAGCAATTTTAGTTTGGTCGAATAAAATTTGATTTTGAGTTTTATGATTATACTCAGCAACTCCTGATGAGTTTCATTGTGGTAGTCTTAAGGCTATTTCATGTTGTTTTAGCCTGGCTGAATGCTGTAAACTCCCGGTTTGTCAAACGGATTTTGACTTTGATGAATCGAAGATCGTGGGAGATTTTTGAACAAGCCATAAATCAGGTTTGAAAGTTATATGATGTGCGGTCAGTAATGTTTTGTACTTAAGGAAGGGCCACAGCGGAGTTAATTTCGAACCCATTTGTTTTGAGGGGTTGTGGTGAAGTGTATTTTTTAATGAAAAGCTTAATATCTCCAATGTGGAAATGATTTGAGAGAATAGCAGGTGTTAGGTGTTTTAATTCTAGCTTCAGTGACTGGTGACTAGTTGGGATAGTTTTATGGGTCTGTAAACAAGAGAGTTGATACCCGATTTGAGTAGGATGGTGATGTGACAATACATTAAGGTATCGGTGTCTCTGCGTATTAGTTTGTAATTCTATGGTAAAATATATGTAAGGGTTATATGGTTAGGAAAATCTCGGAGGGATTTTTCATTATGAGACTAAATAACAAGAGTATTATCAAGGTAGCGTTTCCATAGCGTCTCCAAGAAAAAAATATGACGCTTCATTTAAATTAATCATGTTATAGCCACTTAAGCAGTTGTAATCAGATTAGAATAAATCTTTGGCAACTGTATAAGATGGAAATTCCTTTGATCTGTTTCCATTTCTCCATTTGTATTTTTTTCCTCTCTTTCTTAAGTTTAACGTCTTTATTAATGGTTTCTGGGTGCACAGAAATTAATGATTTTTTCCAATTCTTGTTATTTAATTTAGGAATTGCTTTGGTTTAGGGATATAATTTAAATATTGCTGAAATATTAATTAATCGCGTATAAACATGCCTTGACAGTGAAACAAAAACTCAATTGTACTTTGTCTATTTATTTTCCATTCTTTACTTCGGGGAGATATTTCCTTTTTTTCCATTAATTTTTACCTGCCTACACCACTAAGCGATCGGTCGTTGCTGTGACCTGAAGTATACGTCGGGAGTCTAATATTTTCTACTTTTGGGAGTTTTAGAATTCCGTACGTATCGATTACGAATTCGGAAAATTAGAACCCGTACTTTGCAGTTCCTTCAACCCGTTACATCCTGCACAAGGAATTTTGGGTAAGTCAGGGCATGATCATTACTTTACGAACTGGGTAAACATTCAAGGAGCAACCAAGAACTACAGGATTCGATGAACGAGAACAAATTTATACAAAATTTTGTTGCGTAACCGAACATCCTTTATAATTTAGATATAAAATATGGTTTATGATAATAATTTATTAAAGATTTCGCTTACATACGTCAACTACTTTTTATCTATTGGAGAAATAAAAATAAAAAAACAACTGGGGTTGTCGCCAGTTCGGCAGTACTTATAGTCGGCTCAGTGTTTATCAGTTTTATTTAACTGCACAGTACCAATCAATTCGGGTATCTTTACGAAACAAGGTGTACAAAGTGCGAGGTACAACTCCACCCTAACTGGAAAACCAAAACTTTGCCTACTATTACGTAGTAGCACATGAGTGAAGGGCTCAGGCCAAAACACAAATTTCAAATTTCAAAATTTATCAACGAATTAAAAATTTTCAAAGGTTTGGCTATGCCTTCCCCCTTTCCCTATACCTATTTTAAACGGTATAAAAAGTCAATAAAAACCCAATCTTGTTTGTAGTTAGCATTGTTTTTGACCAAATTGTGTTCTTGTCTTTATTTACTGCAACAAAAAATCTAGAGCTGGCCATCCAGATTACCCGATTTTAAAAAGGGTTAGTGTACGCTTTACTTTACTTATTAGTTTAAATCCAGACGTACATTAAAGCTTCATTACATGAATAATGCAATAATTTATTAGGTGTATGTTGTCATATAGAAGCAATTATTGTAATGATTAGGTTTACCTTCATTTTGTATATCACGTTTCTTGTGTTCCATTTTTTTATGTCTTACATTGACATTCTAAATTTTCCTGTGATAATTTCATGTGCTAATTAAGTTATACATTATATTTCTTAAGACCAAATTATCTTTCAGTGCCTGCCAAACATCATCAAATGGAAAACTTAAAAATGCCAAAGTGTTAATTGATATTTTTGTGCTTTCGAATAGGGCATAAACGTCTATCAAAATTTGCTTTTCAGAGGTGAAATTCTAAAGAAATCCGTGATCTAAGTGGTGAGTTCTAGAGTCTCCTAATTTCTCCGAGATAAATAAAATCAAAAACATGTTAAAACCAATGCTAAAAAACGTTAGTTTTGTATATATTTCAAGTTTTTGTTCTTTTAATAAATTTTTTAATTAATCAAGATATTTGACATATCCTACGAACAAACTAATAAAATTTTCTCAAAAATCCAAAATGGAAATAATATGCGGTTCCATTTAAAATAATCAAATTATTCTGTGGTCCATTTTTAAAATAAGTTTAAATATGAAAAAATAATCATTGTTTTTTATCTATACAGAGTGATTCTCAAAACTATACATTACTTATTTACGTTTTTTATTTCTGAAATTTTTTTAAGGGGATTAAGTGTCAAAATGCAATCAGTTTTCAAAATTTAGCATATGCTTCTAAGACGCAATGCACCATTTCAAAAAAAACTTTCCTAAAGAATAAAAGTAAATAACACAAAATGAAAAGAAAGTAAGAAAAATTCCAAGTCCATCGACAACTAATTTCACCTAATGACATCTGCATCTTAAATGGGGGAATCACCCAAAGAAATACTAAAAAAATCGAAATTTTGGAAAATAAAGAAACTATAGGAACTTTTTCCAAATGCGTACTTTTGAGAATTATTATTATTTCTGGGTTCTTTCCTATTAATAAAATATACTATAAATTTTATAGTAAACTTAACAATGAAACCTAGAGAAAGATACGAACTACAATTTTGCATGGAGCATGAATGAAGTGTTATAACATTTGGAAACAGATCACATATAGTTTTTTCAGATAGAAACATGAACGCTCGATCCTACACTAATAAGATATTACAACTTGTCCCTTTGCCCTACCTCCAAAAATTAAAAAAGGCATGGTCGTTGAAAAAGTATAGTATGCAACACATTTAGTAAACTTTTTAAGTCACTAGTTTATTGAGCACTCGCTCCGCTACTCTCCGCTCGTGGCAAATATACGAGTATGTTTGGCATGTAATATTACTTGTAATGCATGTAATATACTATATACTAAAAATATTCAAAAAGTTGCAACAGTTATATTATTTTGCTTTCAATAAAAAAAAGTGTAAATAATGATTTCCGCAAGGAGATATTTTCTACCGAGATCCAGATTAAAGCTCAATCAATATAAGAATTCTAACTCACTTACAATAGTTTATATAAAAAGTCTTTAAAGTGTCTCTAACTGGACAAGTATTGGCTAAATTCCAGAAAGAGCCAAAGAGGGCTTATCAAAAAAAAATTATCGCGGAAAACTACACTAAGTATTATTTTGCTTGTCTGTTTTAAATAGCAATCACCATCATTTGCTGATACAAACCTTTGAGATAGAAATTAATAAGTATTAACGTTTAAGAGTGTAGATTTGGGAAACCAAATTTCTCCAACGGTATGAAACTGAAGTGACTGATCCTCCTCCTCCTCCTTAAACCGTAATGTTCACTAATTATCTTTCTATGTACATCCGCGTACAAAGCATTCGATTTCAAGAGGTACCCAAGAACCCATCCGTTACGAAAGGCATTGTTTCATTCGGATATACGGAAGCAATCACAGTTACATAACTGTTTTTATATACAGGATGGTCGTTAAACATATAGCACCGCAAATGGAATATTATGGGGACCTTCAGTTGCCATTTTCTTTTACAGTCAGTGTCATAACGATGCATTTATGGGGCCGTTTTTATTGCAAGAGATGCTTAAATTTGGTCGTTACCAGCGACGAAATCCTTGAATGTTTGCCACGGGAATTACAAGTGTTTCATCTGACTTATTCCTTTAAAATATCGATCTCTTAAACTAACCGTTCAAGTCACATTTTCAAAAAGAATTCTCAACAAAATAAATAAATAAATAATAATAACAAAATTAATCTTTTGCGAATTCTATGAGATTACCTTGTTCGAGGATGTACACCATCTTTGCTATTATCAATACTGAACTAAAATACTTTTAAATAATATGCAATCACTAGAGAGACATTCAATATGGCCATGTACAGGGTGGCCCGTTTAAGAGAGGTCCATACATTATCTCGAAACCTACGTGGGTTACAAAAAAAAAATAAATACAAAAGTTGTTTCTATTAAAATGAACTTTTTTTTTATTTTGATAATCGTTATTTTTTTTATATACAGGGTGCTAAAACAAAGTT